CCAATCAAAATCATACGGTATATCCCATCATACCGAAGGTCCATCACATAGCCCCTTTCTAAAATCCTAAAAAAACAAAAGGTAAATGATCAATACAGAAAAAGAAAATTATTCTTTCGTTTTTTACCTACCAATTATTTGTAAACCACATATAACCAGATCATCGACGCCATCTTCGATTGATTTGTCCAGAGCACATTTCATCATTTTTCCAAGGGAAACCAGATCTTCTGATACAAGTGCACCCCCCTTTTTTGGTTTTATCTCGCCAATAAGCAACTCAACATGTTTTTTCGGATTTGTTGTTTTAACGGTGAAATCTGGCTTCATACCGAGGAGAACCGGATCAAAGCGTCTTTGGGCAATGGCAGAAGACTCTGACATTTTGTTTGCCCTGTAAACGAAACAAAATATATAAATACTGTAAACTATATATAATAATATCATTTACACATACCCATCAAAAACAATTTTTCTATTATTCTTAAAAAAAGGTCTTATTATTATCGGAGTGACGTTTTGAATGATGTGGGTATCCTCAATGGCGTTATTTCTCCTGAATGAGGACTGTTCATTGTCAATCCTGTAACGAAACAAGAATAAGTTCATTCAGAAATTTTAAAAGAAAATTGTTTTATTACAATCCACAAAAACATACAAGTCTTTGAATATTTCCACCATGACCCCTTCTTCTTCGGTTGTGACCTTGTATTTCAAGTAACTTCTTGCAACTGCTTGCCGTTCTCTTCGATTTTGCGTCTCACATGTAATCTGAAAATATTAATATATTCACGTGTTCAGAACTGAGGCCTTCTCGAAGGAAATAGAAAAATTCAATGCATTACCTTAATGATGTTTGCAAATAAATCATAAATCATATTCGGGATCGAATAAAATGGATACAGTTCCTGAAACTCAACAAAAAGGTCTTCCCATAATTCATCATCAAAATGTTCACACAACCCACAGGGACTTTCTTCCTGAAAAACAAACACATGGCTTAGAGCCCTGTAAAAAAGAGAAAGGCTTAGTTATGGTATATTCATTATCGATACTACAATACAATACTAACAGTTCCTCGAAAGCATCTAGGATGACCGCCATAGGCTCACATCTTTTAATCACTTCTGCACGATTCTCGAGACATATCTCAGAAATGTCAACGTCGCTTACAATCCACTGTTTGAAAAGATAGAAATGGTAGGTAAAAAAAACAGCTATGATTTTTTCATATCACATATTGCATCAAACACCTACTCGTATTGAATGTTCATTCAGGTGCCACTCAAGAACACCAGGACCAGTAAAGTAAAAAAGACGGTAAGTATTCTTTCCTGCCCTTATATATTCTTCATTAATAGAAGAATTGGGAGAGGATGACACATACAACGAGTGCATCGAAGTTATCGATGGTGGAGAGGTTTCTCTGGCTGTCCTGGTCTGTAAATGATAAGACATTTGTTTCGGAGTTTTGGGTCACGATTAGACAATTATGTGGGGCAACTACCTGATTTTCTGAAGTTTGAGGTTGATCTCGTTCATGTTGAGAGGCTTCACGTACAGGAAAGTAATCATTAATTTTTACTCTTTTTGGAATTTTATTGTTGTCCTAAGAGTAAAGTTGCAGATTTATTAGGAACAAATTCAAAATAATAGTTATAGCTAAAAAAATGTGTACCTGATTATCATGAATATCCCTTTTTAAAGAAACGATTCCATTTATAGTTCCGACCGTTCCTCTGTTTATAGTCGTTCCGTTGATAATTCCACGAAGATGGATATGATTATGTGAACGTCGACCCTCCCACTCTCTAGCCAGTTTGCGATCTGGTTTATCATCCTAATGAAAAGGATTATTTCCACATCCGCCGAATCAGCTCGAAGCCTTTAACAACAAAAAACCTCGAAGGCCATTCTGCGCTCGACGGGGCCAGTGCCAGGTCGGCTCGAAGCCTTGAACGCAGGTAACCTCGAAGGTAACATGCGCCCCAACAACACTGCCTGAACGTCAGACAACCTCGAAGGCCATCTGCGCTCCAATACCATTTTGCCCATTCTCTTGCTCACCTTCTTATATTTATCAATCAATGACTGTGCCATTTCCCCCCTACGATTTTTCTCACTGTTAGCGATATATTCGAGGCTTGTAATGTAACATTCGATCTTTCGCTCGAATGGTTCTATCTCACACTCGTTTAGGAAACCTACTATGTTCCATTCGGAAGCCTTGCGTTCGAAGTATTTATGCACGTTTCCTGACACTGAAGGTAATGTGAATTAAAACATAGGGTCTTACGAGCACGTTTCCGAAGCATAGGAAGGAAGAACTTACTGTATAATAACGTGTTACAACAAAAGGTAAAATAATAACGTTAAAACTATTACGCGAGATTTTTTTCACAAAAGAAATCAGATTATCACTTGGATAAATGATCTGGGCCTGCATAGATAATTGTGATTGCGCGTTACAATTTGTAACGCGCAATTTTATTCCAAAAATTTTTAACTGTTGCTTATCTAATCGAGCATGTAACTGATCTTTCTTCTTTTCTGTCCACTCATGTGGAGTATAATGATCAAATAAAATAGGAGAATCTTGGCTTTTTCTTAAACATAAAAAAAAATTGTATAAGCCACTGTTGAAGTACTGTTCAGAATAAGCGAAATATCAAATTATTAATAAATTTTTATAACGCATGTGCGTATGTGTTTACAGGTATGATGTTTCTTTGTACGTATCCACAGCCCTTATTTTTGTATACTGTATACTGACAAATGTAGACGCAGGTTGATCGAACATCTTACGTATATACTTTATTTAAAATTCGGTAAAATTATTGCTAATATATACGTGTATGGATATTTATAGCTTATCAGGTAATCTACCCCTTAATGTTAAAAACGTGTAATAAAATTTTTACTGATAATACACTTCCTTCCACCTTTTTACACTAAGTTGTTTTTGTGTTGATAAGATGACTTCTATAGCTATTTGATACGAGTTTGCTTTGGCGAGTTGTGTGATTAAACATGTGCACAATCTTCTTGCTTCAACAGAGTAGAGGGCTCAGTACTTTGGTAATGGTAGTTTGTTTGCTCTACAAAAATATGCAATATAGTTGTCTTTTAATAATATAGTCTTCTTAGAGGAAGTCATGTAAAAAATTTTGGTTCTACTATTGAAGCGATAGAGCCTCTGACTATGCATGTTGTGAGACTCAATGGGTTCATAATTACTTTAGATAGCCCAGTACTTAGGTGAAGGTGATTGTCTGGTTTACAAAAAATATGCAATCTATTTATCCTTTATAATATAGTCTTCTTAGATATAGTTATAGCCTTTTGAGGCAGGCCTAGGATCTAACTATTATCTCTCTAAATTTTATTTCATATAAAATACTATTATAGAGGGCATGATTGTCAAATTATTATTGTCTGTAGTAAGGAGAGGAAGACCCAATAAGCTTCTCATAGTATAATTCACTGAACTACAAGATAAGAATTAGTTTAAATGTATCTATCTTATTTTTTTTTATAAAAATACTTCTTTAAGAGTGTAATCTACCTCAAATCTATATAAATATATAATCTACAATATTAATCTAAAAATTTTATAGAAAAGGATTTAATACCAATTAATGATAATTAAAAGATAAATTGGATAAATTGTTTTTATTTTTTTGTATAAATTAATTATATTGTGTTGATAGCTACAGGTATATATAGTTATACAAAAAATTTTTACCTCTTAATGATAGGGCCTCTGACTTTGTATATTATATATTCAAAAGGGCATAATTATCATTTCTGGTGGTTTAGTACTTTAACTTGGGTGGTTTGTTCAGTTCACAAAAATAATTAGATAATTTGGTTGGACTATATAAAATATGATTTAATCTTATTTATTTTCTCTAAGATACTTTCATCTTTTTAACTATAATAATTGGTGCAAGTAAAATCTTTTTACTATATATAAAGATGAATTTTTTTAGATAAGAAGCTTATAAGACTTTAATATAAGTTTATTTTGAATACACAAAAAATAAATTTATATTTATTAGTATATAGTTGAT